TTAAAATCGGCCGTTTCAAAGTGGCTCCGGAACCAATCAACCTTCTGTCTGACCTTGAATAATTTTTGTTTTCTATTCTCCGTGATTCAGTTCATCTTTAAAATGGTGATCATAGCAAAACTGCCTTGGTTTGGTGAAGCAAAAAAAACCTAAATACACATAAAAATTTTAGGACGATGCCCAGCATACTAATTTTTCAGTAAGTGTTAACCACTTTTACAATTCAGAAATACTTTTTAGGATTACTGAGTGATACAGAAGTTGAGATTTATGTTTTAAAAAATACTAAAACTTTAGGTAAATTCTCAACTGGCAAGGACTTGAACAAATCATGGATACAGGATTAGGTACTGTGTACTGGCCGGAGAGTTGGGGGACTTCCCCAATTAGGCCAGAGTTTGGCTGAGGTTAGAAATGAAATTGAACGAGCTGAGCGAGGAGAAAGCTCCTCCAGTAGACCCGACCCTCAGGGTGGCGAGCAGTGCAGGTTGGGATCTATGTTCTCAGGCAGGGTTATGGCTCGTGCACGTGCTGCTGGGAAATAACCTTATGTGGTTTTAGCATAAATTATCTGATGGCTAAAAATTACAGCTACTATGGCAGAAGCTGTTCTGTAAACCCTTCTTCCACACAGAAATAGAAATTTCTATTTCAGGGCAATTTCTATTTTAGAAATCTTGCCCATTTCTTCTCCGTAAAAGTCGCCTCTTGGCTCACATCACTATGGTTTCCTTTTTGCTTGGGTTCCTTCGCACCCCACGTGATGTTGTTTATGTTTGCATGTCCCGTCATCACACTGTTTAGAGTAAATTTACGATATGTTGCTGATGCATTTTGTGTTGCATATATTAAAAAGGCCTGGTCAGAATGTTTGAAATGCTTTTACTTTAAAGGGATGCCTAGGGGTCGGCGAGATAGCTCAGTGGACTAAGTGCTTGCCTGGCAAGTGCTAGGTCCTGAGTTCAATCCCTGGTACCTTAATGAATAAATAAATAAAGTGATGCCTATCAAGTTGACAGAACTGGTGTTCATGGGAGACTTGCACATAGGTTCTGAGTAAACATGTCTTAGAGGAAAATAATCTAAAAATAGATTGTGTACCACATGTACTAACAGATATACAGATTCTCTGTGAAACTTCTTAAAAAACTACAATGCCCCATTGACTATGTTCAGATTCACTACTTAAATTTAAAATAACCATTATCATTTATAGTGATTAAAATGGTAAAATATTAAAATTATTCTGCTATCACACGTGCAATCTTCTTGAGAAGAAAGATCGTGGCTTACTTTTATGGCCCAACTTGTAGAGCCACTGTGTGTACTAGGCTGATGTTCCATTGAGTTCCATTTGAATCAGAAGGATGCTGGTGACAAGAAATCATTTGCCACTAAGGGAGCCAGCCCCAGGTTCCCCGCCTATGTACTGCCCAGCCAGAGCTGTCAGTTACTTTGGGTTGATAATGGCCATCAGGAAGGAGTAGAACAAAGACAAAGGTCTGGGTCTCAAGGGAGCAGGTGACGTGGGCAGTTGCTGTCGTCTAGGTGAGCTTGATTATGTTTCCTCTTTGGTGACTTCTTAGCTCCTGGGGACTTTTTTGTCTTTTGAATTATACTCCCAATTAATCATGAAGGAGGATAATGGAGCAGGGTTATGAATTCTGTCATTGTAAATAAATTAATATGCTCTTGCTTTCCAAGGGACAAGCAAAGCATCCCACAGGGACACAAGTTCAACCAAGAAGCTGACTAATATAGAAGGAGAACAAAGGCTAGGGAAAGACTCACTCATCTACATCTTTCCAAAGTGCTTCTGAATCTTCTATAAGGAGCGATGTAAAGACTTTCCTACAACTCCCACTGGATTAGCCAGCTTACCTATCTCGGAGACATCAGTAAACACGCACAAGCAGGTCCGATCCCCCGAGGGCTAGGAAATGAGATCGGTGGGAAGCTCACTTTAGCGGAAGACTTTCTCTTCACAAATCAGAAATTCCATCGTATATATTCCTATCCCCCTTGATAACTGGCCAGGGGATAATCCAAATGAGCTATGGCACAAAGCCGCCACAGCCCTCAGACGCTCTATGTGGTGGGGCCCAAATCAGAATTGTAAAACAGTTGGGAGACTCTGGGAACATAAAACACGGTGTGAAAAACCAAAGATGATTTCATCTTATTTATAGAAAGGTGGTTGTTAGGGGAGGGGACAATGGGAGAGAGTGGCTTGGGATCACCATACATCATTTTTTAAGCACCAATAGAGTGAAACCATCCCCTGGAATTCACTGCAAGTGACACTGAATTCTTCTACTAAGCAAATAAGTGATGAGTTGATAAAAAAGAGAAGGTCCCGAACTCTTGACTACAGATATAATACAGTGCATACAGAAAATCAAAAACATGCTTCCTATCTGCCTCAGAATAAAGGTGCACTTCCACTTGTAAAAGACAACATTTTTATTTGAATGATATGACAGAGCTGTCACAGGAGTGCTACCTGCTATAAAGAAAGCCTAAGAATTATTACCTTTATTAGACCAGTGACACTGAGCTTTAGCCATACATTTCTAACTTCTGTCCCTCTACAGAGACAATTTTCTTTTCTTAAATAAACTGTCATGCTAGTGTTAATATATTGTTGGCTCTCTCATGCTCCGAGAATACTGCTGATATAAAACATGTATATGTTAGATTGGTAATAGTATCTTTAGTGTAGCTGACGAGAACGAATGTGTTTCCCTCATGGCTGTGCTAATGTGATAAAGGAAAATTGGCTGTTCATCAGCTTTCGGCTGGTAAAGACAGTGCAGATGGAGCCACGTTCTTTTTTATGCATTAATACCACCGAGAAGTTTTCACTAGTTATATTTCATGTGCCTGCGCGTTGCCCAAAGATGTTGTAAAACATGAGATAATGCTACAAATAACAAAGTAGAAAAGCCTGTATCTTTTATAATGATAACAGTCAAACACCAAATGACAGTAACAGGCTGTAAAAAAATGGGATGCAAAACAAAAAATGCAGTCCTACTACCCAGCAGAGAGGAATAGATTCGTGGCCGTGAAGAGTTGGTGTTGGACTTTCGGCATATGCAAGCTTTGTTTTAAAATTAAATCGAACAAAACACTGGGTCAGTGAATTTAAGAAAGAACATATCCAAATGAAAGCGGGTCGGCTCGGATGGAGGAAAATCATATTGAGGAACTTTTGAGAAGTCAGTTATTAGCAAGTAATTAGGATATTAACTTCCAGATGTTTTTGTTGTTGTTATTTAGTTGTGTTTTTGATTGGGAGTTTTCAAAAGGACTTCTTAAGATAATAATTCATAAGGTAATTTAAAGATGTCTGAGGATAAATGTTACTTGAATTATTGCAAGTCCTTTTGAATGGAAAAGCATTTAAAGTATAATTTTTATAAAATGAACTTTAGGTGCAGAGCGAAGTTGAGTAAATGGCTTGGACGTTCCCCCTAGCACCCTGGCTTTCGGTACCTTCCCCATCATCCAGAGCCTGCACCCAAAGGTGCATCTTTCGCACTGAAGAACCCACATGCATTCATCCGTATCACCCACACTCTGTAGCAGGACAACATTCTGAGTGCTGGGTACCAGGAGCTAAACTCAGGACCTTGCACTTGCCAGACAGGTGCTCTGCCATGAAGCTATGTCCCCAGCCCCTGGTTTAATTAAACTATTAAAATAGTTTTAATTGAAGTATTAGCATCCATCCTTAACAATAGCATAATATAAAACCTGCATCTCTTCCTCCCCATCCCAGATTCTCTCTGGAGTCTTTTGTCTGCCCTTTGAACTGCTTTCCTCTCTAGAGTGCTGAATGTTGCGTTTACATTTAAGTTGAAAGCACTTGAGCAGAAACACTATCTGCAGGGACTCAGTTTGATGTCAGAACAGCTGACCACTTTCGTGAAGATTTTGTGCAATTGTAGGTGGCTTTGGGTAGCTGTGAACGTAGTTGGGTTTTGCGTGTAAGCTTGAATTGCTTATTCGAGGATCATGCCACACCGTGAGACTTCGGTGCTTTTTTATGGTATAATCCAGAGATCGAACTACGACTCACGGGGCATATCTGGCTGGCCACCTGCTTTTCTAAATACAGTTGGTTTTTTTATCAGGAGACAGGCATATTCGCTTACATGTTGTTATTTTCCATTACAATCTCAGAGTGGAACAGTTGTAAATTGGGTCCATTTGGTCCACAAAACTGAATTATTTGGCTTTCAAAGGCAAAATTATTTTCAGGGGCCGGGGAGAGAGCTCAGTAGAGTAAGCGCCTGCCTGGCTAGTGCAAGATCCTTAGTTCAATCCACAGTACTGCAAAACAAAAACAAAACAAAACCCACAAAAAGTATTTTCAAAGATAAAAAAACATTTATAGAAAAATAGTGTCAATCCGGAAAGTAAATTGACATTATTGGGCAGCTTGATTGATTAGTTTAGACGGGAGCCAGCAGATTTCAATGTTATTCTGCATTGGGAAACTATATTTGAAAATTACCAATCATATACTAATACCTAAAAGAACAAATACTTATTAGAAGTATTTTGTTCTAGTCACTTGAAATATAACCACAAGTAATGAATTGTTATAGGTCTGGTTTTGAATATCTCTCCCTTTTGTATTAATTTCCTTGTTTCCAAATATAGCCATAACAAATTTAATGAGCATTAAAGAAAGAATATATCTTTAGAGTATATGAAGGCGTGGCAATCAGAACTATCACATACCTAGGACAATTATGCATGCCTGTGAGTAAGCATGAGTCCTCACAGCAGAAGGACTCATGCTTACTCATGAGTAAGCATGTGCATTTAGTTCTAGACTTAACCCACATATCATTATGCTATTAAAATAAATTGTGGCCTTTTCAAATAAAGAAAATGGACAAGCAGCAAAGTAACTTCAGAAAACTAGGTGTGTGGCTATGTGAAATGGACGTTGACATGCTTAAAATAATGGGGCCCATTTCTTGCAGGTGCATCGGACAAAAATCAGCTTCTTTATCAATGGCTTGGAGGAGGGTAACATGGCCTTCCATACAAGAACTCTAAGTGGATCCATTTCAGATTTCGCTTCTGGGACTATACAAATAGGACAGAGTTCGAATGGTAAGATACCGATTTCGGAATGCTATTTATTTTATCCCATTCCATTGTTTCTAAAATGATTCAAAGAAGCTATTTTAAAGTATTTGGGTCTATTTCCTGGGGTCCAGTAAAAAAGTGCCATCAATTGGGTGGTAGATTAGTGTAGTGGAAACGCAGTCTCTGGCAGCTGTGGCAGCCAGAAGCCTGAGCTCACAGACTTCGCAGGGCTGGGGCCACTAGAAAGGACCACACACTGTCCTCTCTGTGGACTATGGGCAGGGCTTTCCCCTGTGCAGCCCACAGCGGGGCAGATACAGCTTTATTGCACAAGGTCCCCTCCTCTATCTCTTCCTCCCTGGATGAGGGCCCCGTTCATCTCCAGGATCCTAACCGAACTGCACCTTCGAAGGCCCTCTTTCTGCACCAGATGTCAGGAACAGGCTCTAGGCAGTCATATCTTTGAGGAGCTGCTCTTCAACACAGCTTTAAAATTAAAACTTCTTCACTTAGACTAACACTAAAGGAAAGAACAGCACACAGCCTTCTTTTCTCTCTCCTTTTCTTGACTAGGATTTTGATACACAACATTTGTTTTCTTAATTTTTAATATTTATTTATTTATTATGTATTTGGTACGGGATCTCACTACACATCTTGGACTCATAGTGATCCTGCTGATTTCAGCCTCCCCAGCACTGGGATTACAGGGGTGCACACAAGACCCGTTCTCAGCGGCCAGCTCAGTGTGCCTGGAGGCAGGGCTGGCGCAACATGCCAGGGATCGAGCTGTGCTTCCTGTGCTCGCCAAGCAGATGCTTAGACCTCTGAGTTATCTCGCCGGCCCTGACAACAAAACACTTTTAAAATGAGATGGGAATATTTTGAGAAACTGTCAAATGATATTAATGTGTAATAAATTAGATTGATAATGTTCCTATTTTCTAACACTAAAAATAAGTGCATAATTTAAGAAGATAATCTACACTATGGACAGAAAAGAAGGTTACAGAAAGAAGTTGACAGGAGAATTACCTGATCCACATATCTCATGGCGCTTGTTATCTCAGCCTTTTGATTAAAAGCCAATTTTACTGGGGTGCAGTCACATCTCATTATGATTCTGATTTGAATTTTCCTGGTGTTTCGTAGTGCTGGGCATTGTTTTCATCTACTTGCTGGTCATTGGTAAGGCTCCCTTTGAGAAATGTTTATTCAGATCTCTTGCCCAGTTTTTAATCAGGGTATCTGTTTTGTTTGTTTGTCTTCCATAATGACTGTACTAATTTAATTTTGCTGTTGAGATTGTGCAGCTCCGCACAGATTCTGAATATCAACTCCTTGTCAAATGTATAATTTGAAAGTACTTTCTCCCATCCCATAGGGGGTCTCTGCCCTGTCGACGACTTCTTTTCCTGTCCAGGAGGTTGTTAGTTAACATAGTCCCACTTGTCTGTTTTTCCTTTTATTTCCTGTGCTTTGGGGGTGTTGTAAGCACTCCTTGTCCTTTTCAATGTCCTGAAGTGCTCCCTTCACGTTTTCTTCTGGTGGTTTCATAGCTCCATACCTTTCTACCAAGTCTTTATTCCATTTTGAGTTGGCTTTTGAAACTGGTCATCACAAGGGATCTGGATTCTGCGTGGGGACAGTCAGTCTTCTCAGAGAATTTACTGAAGATTATTCCTTCTCCAGTTTTAATGTTCATAGCACCCTTTCAAGAAAACCACTGGCTGTAGCTTCACAGGTTTATTTCAAGGCTCTGTATTCTGTCTTGCTGGCCTATGTTTCTATTTTTATGCTAACACCATTGTTTTATTTTTTATTTATTTTAATTTTTACCATGTTTTTATTATACAACTGTACTATATTTTGTAGTCAGGTAGTATAAAAGTTTCCTTCTATGTTATTATTATTATTATTTAATGTATTTGATACAGAGTCTAAACATATACAACACTGTAGCAGGACAGTCCTATGTCATTTTTTTTCTTGATTCTTGCTTTCTTTTATTACCATTTTAAAAAAACAAACATTTACTTGGGAGAGAGTATAGCAGTAATTGATATGACATTCGAAGCAGTATGCACTCTACAGCTCATACTGGTACTAATCTTCCTGCTTTCAGCCTCCCAGCATTGGGATTACAGGTGTGCGACATCACACCCGGTCCCAGTGGCCAGGTCAACATGCACAGGGCCAGTCCTGTGCTCCCCTACACTGGTTGCACCAATTGCTGCCATGCTGTTTCTCAAGTAAATGTTTGTTTTTTTAAAAAAGGGTAATAAATGAATTTAAGAGACAAAATAATAATAATGTCACAGGACTGTCCTGCTACAAGGCTGTATATTGTTAGATTTCTAAATTTCTGTGTAAAGATATGTAAACAATTATTCTTATTTTTTAAAATTTTTTTTTATATTTTTAATCTTTTTTCTTCATATTCTGGAGGGACACAAAGTTTAACATATCAATGCCTGATTAGAAAATACCTGTTCCATGTTATGTCTAAGATGTTTGATATCCAGATAGGTAGTGAGGTTAAGCTCAACTGCCTGTGTTGTAGGTTAACAATCATCAGCCTTTCTTCTGGAAGGTTAACAACCTAAGTTTGCAGACCAAAAATTAGAGAAAAAGAAGGGCTGCAAGACAGACAACATTTTGGCCCTAGCCTTTCAAGGTCAGTGAAGACTCAGGACAGAGGAGAACCTGTACTATAATATCATGTAACTCAGTTGTGTCTCAAATTTTCTGATCAATAAGATTATGGGGCCACAGAGGAAAATGAACAATAATGTAGAGTGTGCCTCAGGAAAGTCACATAGAGAGAAAATATTCTCTCAGGCTTTCATAGAGAGCACATTGGGCAAGCAATGTCCGTGACTCAGCCACATGGCTGACAATGACAAAATCTCTACAAACTACAGTACTGGGTTTCAGGTTAAATCCTGAGGGAATTTGACTGACCTTATCAAACACAAAAGTTACATTTCTTTTATATAGGGCTTGTTTATCCTGGTCTTAACTATCCAGCAGAAAAGTATGAAAACGAAGTATAAAAAGTAAAGCCATATTAATATGCTGAGCTGTAAAAGGCTCAAGTCAACAACTTCGGACATTGCCAGTCTTACGGAAAACCCACTACTTTTATGGACTACTGGACTATATTGGGATATTTTGCTTAATTCATGCACTTACAGTATTTAAACGACAATAGAATGCCCTTCTCTGACAAAATTAACCAAAAAAGTGGGATAGAAATGACCGACCATTTTGTATCTGTATATTCAAAATAGTTAGGATAGATATACAGCTACATTCTCTTAATTCAATGAATAGAGAGGTTTGTTCTAATAGTGTTTGAGACAGGATATCAGGTGTGCATCTTGTACAATGAATAACCACTAAGACAACAATATGCAATGTATTAATTATTGAAAATGTGCTTCTGATCTGTTGTGAAACTGTCTCATTGCTATTTGTTTCTCAATAAAATTATTTTAAAAAAACAACAAAAACATGCATGGGGCCAGGGCTGGTGCAGTACGTGGTGCTGAGGATTTAACCATGATCCCTAAGCTTGCCTAAATAGGCACTTTAGCCTGCTGAGCTATCTCACTGGCCCCTTCTGTGTTATTTTTGATCAAGAATGTTGTGGTATTTTTTTAATAGTTTCATACAGGCTTTACAATTTACTTTTTTTCTAGTTTTGCGAAAACAACATTAATATTTGGTAAGATGGCATCAAATTAGCAAATTGCTTTGGGTACTATGAACATTGTAACAATATTGATTTTTCCAATTTGTGGACAAGGAATATCATGCTCTTCAATTTATTTTGCAACCTCTCCAATTACTGTCGTCAATATTTTATTACTTTCACTGTATAGTTCTTTTACCTCTGATAAATTGATTCCTAAGTTATTTGCAGCTATTTCAATAAGATTGCTTTCTTGATATTTTAGTTCAGATAATTCATAACTGGCACTTAGCAATACTGCTGAGTGTTGTATGTTGCTTTTATATCCTACAACTTTGCAGAAATCGTCTCTTGGTTTTAAGAGATTTTTGTGACATTTTGGGAACTTCCTGTATGTAAGATAATGTTATCTACAAATAGTGGCAATTTGATTTCTTTTCTGGTTTGTTTGTTTATTTTGTATTTTAGGGAAGGGTCTATAGGGTGTTCAGGGTCTCACTACTAGATCAGACTCATACTGATCCACCTGTTCACAGTCTCCCAAGAGTTGGGATTACAGGTGTGCATCAACACACCCAGTCTCAATTGCCATCTCGGTGGGCAGGGCCAGCATAGCAGGCCTGGGGATTGAACCTTCATCTACCTTATTTCTCTGGCTAGAGCTTATAGCAATATGTTGAATAAATGTGGTGAAGTTTAGCATCCGTTTTTAGTTCTATCACTTGGCGAGAACAGGTTCAGCTTTTCTTTATTCAGTGGAATAAAAGTGGCTTATTAACAGTTGACTTTTACTGTGTTGGGGTATGTTCTTGGTATAGGCAGTTTGTTAGGCATTGCATTTTCATCTCGAAGCCCTGGACATAGAGATTTACATTCATTCTGTTGATGTGGTACGTCACATTTATTTGGTTCCGTATATTGAACCATTCTTCACGCTGGGATGATGCCCCCTTGATTATCCTTGATTACTGTGAAGAATGTGCTGTTGGATTCAGTTTTTTTTTTTTTGAAGATTCTTTCATGTGTCTCCATGAAAGAGTCCCATAAGCCTGTGGGGTATGTGTGTGTGTGTGTGTGTGTGTGTGTGTGTATGTGTGTATGAACATGGTAACATGAACTTCTAATGTGTTGAAGAATTACTTCCTTTTCTAATATGTTGGTATATAATTGTTCACAATAATCTTTAATGATCTTTTGTATTTTTGTGTTGTGAATTGCAGTGACTCTCTTTTATCCTAGTTTTAGTCTTCTCTCTTTTCTTAATTCGCTGAGGGTTAGCTTATTGAAAAGTGAATGAAAGATTTTCTTTCCACCAACCACACATGGG